TGATTTTTTAGTAAATGTGTGTGTTTGTGGTGTATTTATAAATAGACTTGTTTCTTTGTATTTTGGACACACTTCCTCATTTCCTAACTTTTAATTGAGAAATTAGCTTTTTCCCTCTCTTTTCTCTCTCTCTTTCTCTCTCCAGTTCATGTTTGGAACTTTTTTTTTTAATAAACATCCCAGATTGGGATGGGGGGTTGAGGCTACACCCCGGACCTGTAAATATAATGGCCCAGCTAGGGCTAAAACAGTCAAAGGTTTACATCTAAGTCGGAAATACATAGAGCAACATCAAAAGAAGAAAAATGAAAAATAAAAATAGAGAATAAATATACAAAGGTCACAAAAATATTCGCTGTGGATCTGAAGTGGCCTGGCATGGAGGCCAAAATGACAAATCTAGTCAGGGGCAGGTGGTGGCGGGCGACCGAATCTGAAGGATAGGTACTCTAACTGGTCCATTCGAATGAGCGTCTGAAGCCGGAGGGGAATATCCTCAGGAAAAAGGGTGCGTCTCTGGGGTATAGATGCCCCTGTGCTAGCAAGGAAATCAGCGGGCCGATTCCCCTCCCGAAAAATGTGTGAGACTTGGTAATGGACCGAATGTAGGGTGTCTCTGATACGCATAAGAGGATGCTGGATCTGCCATGAGCCCTGGTGGCCAGATGTCAAAAGTGTGATGACAGTCGCAGCATCCATCTCAATCCAGATATGAGAGAAGAACGAGGCGGCAATCTCAAGACCAATCTGGAGCGCCTGAATCTCTACATCATAACTCGAGGAAGCCCGAAGTGGCCCATGGAAGGCAGAGATGAGTGCCCCACCATGATCCCTAATCAGGCCCCCTCCTCCAGCAGCTCCGGTATGTCTGTCGAAAGCTCCATCAGTGTTTAGCTTAACCCAAGGGGCCTTGGGTTTCAGCCAAACAACGGTCCTGGGTCGTGGGTGCTGGACAGATAAAGGAGGTGGTGGCCTCAAACGATGGGGCGGTGTACACCCTGTCCAGTCTCTCGTCGTGAGTCTACCCAGGGCGGTGATGAGAGAGAGGTGTCTGTCAACCTGCAAAATAATGTGAGCACAAGAAAATAAAATATTCCTATGCTTCGCATTATTCCTTTCTGTCCAGGTGGCCCAAAGGATCAGACAAGGAATAAGGAAGCCCACGTGTCTACTGTGTGTGCGGAGTGAGAAAAAACTAAGAAGCTCAAAAAAACTGTCTGTAGTGGGTAGGGGTATATGAGTATATCTGGCATAGTGCTCCCACACTCTCCTCACAATCTCGCTCTCAAGGAAAAGATGGGTGAAAGTCTCAATCTCAAGGTACCGGTATCAGCACATCAGTGGCAGCGGGAGGGGAAGGAGAACCCTCTCGCCTGCATCACAGTGTCAATGGGAATGCGCCGTAATAGGAGGCGCCACAAAAAGACGGAAATGGTCGGGGTGAGAAGGTCGGTCCATATGGCCCCGAAGAGGCAGTTTGGCCGGTTGCCCAGCCTCACATCTCCCCAGGCTGATGACGTAGAGAATGCACCCGAAGATGTAAGTCTCCACCTCATACCATCCAAACCTCCCTCTAGAATGGGAATCTGTCGGATCTGGTCAATCTCTAGCCTACTAAAACCCCCACCCTCACCAAGAATATCCTCCATCTTATCTCTATCCCAAAACCCTCTCGTCCAAAGGTCCTTCACCTGCATGAAAGGCAGGTGAGTGACTGGCCTAGTACTCGAGAGAGAGGCCTCACCGAACCACCACTCATCCCAAAAGCTAACCTCCTCAGAACCCAAAGTCCAAAAAATGTGCTTCTGAGCACGCCTGTTAACAGTGGTGAGACGTCTCCACTGTCGACTATCCCGAGCGGTGGCTGTCACCCTGCAGGGGTGGGCAGCACCACCAAGACAATATTTCCTCAGGAGGTATTGGGCCCAAAGGGACTTGCCCTCCCTAAGGCGCCACCACATCCTGTAAGAAAACGCAGTAACCATATCAGAGAAACGCCG